TCACCATGTTGGGTCAGGCTGGTCTTGAACTCCTGACCTCAGGTGATCCACCCACCTTGGCTCCCAAAGTGCTGGGATTACAGGTGTGAGCCACCGCCACCTGGCCCATACTTTTTAATTTTCTTTTTTTTTTTTTTTTTTTTTTGAGACGGAGTCTGGCTCTGCCGCCCAGGCTGGAGTGCAGTGGCCAGAATCTCAGCTCACTGCAAGCTCCGCCTCCCGGGTTTACGCCATTCTCCTGCCTCAGCCTCCTGAGTAGCTGGGACTACAGGCGCCTGCCACCCACCTCGCCGCTTAGTTTTGTAATTTTTTTGTTATCAGGTGAGAGAGGGGCGTGGTTTTCACCGTGTTAGCCAGGATGGGTGGTCCGATCTCGCGCCGACCTCTAGTGATCCGCCCGTCGGGTCCTCCCAAAGTGCTGATTACGGCTTGGAAGCCACCGCGCCGCGCCAATACTTTTTAATTTTAAGGATCTTGTATCTCTCTGGCTGCCTCCTGTATTTTTGTGAATCTGCTGTAAGTTTCTGGATTACCAGTTCTATTTTCATTTAATTTAATTTAATTATTTTTTTGAGACAAGAGTCTATGCCTGTCAACCATAGGCTGCAGTGCCAGTTGTATGATACTGGCTCATATCAGCCCCGCCTCCTGGTTTCAAGCAGTTCTCCCCACCTCAGCCTTCCTCTCTACTAAAAATACAAAATTAGTTGGGCATGGTGGCGTGCGCCTGTAATCGCAGCTACTAGGGATGCTGAGGCCTGAGAATCGCTTGAACCCAGGAGGTGGGGGTTGCAGTGTGCCGAGATCACACCAATGCACCTTAGCCTGGGCAACACAGCAACACTCTGTCTCAAAAAAAAAAGAAAGAAAAGAAAGAAGAAAGAAGAAAGAAAGAAATTAGTAAAACAGACTTGAAAAATTTAAGTGAAGGGGCCGAGCCCGGTGGCTCACGCCTGTAGTCCCAGCACTTTGGGAGGCCAAGGCAGGCAGATCATGAGGTCAGGAGATCGAGACCATCTTGGCCAAC